GCCTCCCAAAGTGCTGGGATTACAGGCTTGAGCCACCGCGCCCGGCAGGTGTACTTTCAATTAGCCATGTCACTGACACTTCTCAAGAGTTGTGGTAGTCCCTAGAGAGATTAGTATTCCAAATTTCCATGTAGAATAGTTCATCAGCATAGCTTTTGAGAAGTTAGGGAGGTTTAGATTTTTGCCATTTTTGTCTAGTAGTGTTGTTTCTTTCTGTTTTGTTTACTGCAAAATTATTTTTATTAAGACACTGCTGGTGGGTGGATTGCAAGGATATTTTGTCTGTAACTTGGAGTGGGTAGACAACCCATGAGTGAGCTTTAGGAGGTCTGTGAAAACCCCCCTTTCTCACTGGTATTTTGTGCAGATAGGTATGTGCTTGCACAACCTTTTACAAACGTGTATGTACATTTATCTCAAGAAAGATGCCAGGCTGGGCGTGGTGGCTCATGCCTGTAGTCCCAGCACTTTGGGAGGCCAAGGTAGGTGGATCGCTTGAGGTCAGGAGTTCGAGACTAGTCTGGCCAACATGGTGAAACCCTGTCTCTACTAAAAATACAAAAATTAGCCAGGCATGGTGGTGGGCGCCTGTAATCCCATCTACTAGGGAGGCTGAGGCAGGATAATTGCTTGAACCCAGGAGGCGGAGGTTGTAGCGAGCTGAGATCGTGCCATTGCATTCCAGCCTGGGTGATAGAGCAAGACTCTGCCTCAAAAAAAAAAAAAAAAAGAAGAAAGATCCCAAAGCTTTCATCAATTTCTCTAAGGTTGATGATTTCCCAAAACCTAAGGACCCCACTGATCTTTGAGGAGTCATTAGCAGTGAGAATTCTCTGGTCAGCTTCTGCTGAAAAAATTATTCTGCTTTCTGAGTGGTAGGATTTTTAGGCACCAGCACACTGCCTGGGGACCTTCTGTTGCAGACTCTTCTGTTGCTCTCCATTCGCTTTGTGTAGGGTTGCCAACACTGATTCATTCCTGCTATCATCTCAGGTGACTGTGGCACTCACACAAAGGTGGAAGCAGCTTAGTGTAGTAGTGGAAAGATTCCTGGGATTTGTGAGAGGGGGACAGTCCTGACTCTGCTCCAGGTGAGCCATGTGTCCTTGGACCACTTACTTCTTCTCTGGGCCTCATTTTTCTGCATTTGTAAATGACGGGTTTTGATAAGATAGTCTACAGGGTTCCTTTTTTAATTTTTTTTTTTTTTTTGAGAGAGTCTCGTTATGTTGCCTACGCTGGTCTTGAACTCCTGGGCTCAAGTGACCCTGCCTCCTCAGCCTCCCAAAGTGCTGGGATTATGGGCGTGAGCCACTACATCTGGCCCAGGGTTCCTTTCAGCTGCAGAATGTGATGTTCCTAAAACGGGTAACTTTATTGTTACCATATTATGTTGATTCTGGCGAAAGGAGGGAGTTGATGAACTATGCAGTTGGCTTAAATGGATTAAGAAACAGTTTCTTACTCATTTTTGTCCTGTTCATTGTTCACTGAGAATGTGTGTGTTTCTTCTCCAGCGAATAGCTAAAGAAAGGCAAAAGCAATATAACTGCCTGACACAGCGGATTGAACGAGAGAAGAAATTGTTCGTTATTGCTCAGAAAATTCAAACACGCAAAGATCTTATGGTGAGGAGAGAGAGCCTTAGGCCTTTTTTTTTTTTTTCCTTTTCTTTCTTGTAAAGGTCTTAACTCAGACTGGATTTCAGCTGTGTGTAAATCAACCCCAGTGAAAATGTCTGCTCCTCAGGGGCAGTGGTTTGAGCCAGTGTCTGTTACTCTGACAGTGTTGAAATGTGCCTTGATTAAGAAGGTAATAAGGGGGTTATTAGTCAGTGCTTTGGAACAGCAAAGGGTAGGATCGGGTAGCATATGAACTTTATAGCTTATGAGCAGCTCCCGTAACATTTAAACAGGTTAACAAAACAGTGCATGTCACTCATTGGTGTTTAAAAATAGACAACATTGTGTAGTTAAATAGCAGAGCTGAGGAATATAAGATGCCTCTTTCATATTCTTATCGTTCCTCTAAATGTCAAATTCTTTAGCTTTGTAGATCATTTAGGTTAGCCTTTCTCAACTGGGGTTCCGTGAGAGAATTAAAATTATAATTTTAAATGAAACAAATACTTGAACACCTTTCTTTTCAATTTTCCCAGGACTGTACACAGCTAGTACTTTCTAGATGCCTAGGGGAGAAGTTAATTCATTGCCTACAGTGGATGCCTTGGGCAGTAGGGCTTTGTGTGTTCTCAACTTTGAAAAGGGCTGCTAATAGGTAGTTTATTAACCTTTCGATTTTACAAAACCATTTCCTTCTCTTTACTGATTACCTTTTTACTCTTTTGTAGGATAAAACTCAGAAAGTGAAGGTGAAGAAAGAAACGGTGAACTCGCCAGCTATTTATAAATTTCAGAGTCGTCGAAAACGTTGACATGTTATAGATAAGCCTCGTCATTCTGCATCTAAAATCTGTTGTCTTTTTCTAGTAACTTCAAATTCCATTAGTCCAAATGGCATGGTTTGTAACCATAACTAAATTGTCAGTCTGACATTTAATGTCTTTCTATGGACAACATTAAATCTCCCTCTCTTCTGTAATTGTTTTTGGTTTGTGAAATTAGTCTTATTTTTATATACATAATTTTTTTTTTCCTTTGACATAGGGTCTTTGTTGCCAGGCTGGAAGTGCAGTGTGTGATCATGGCTCACTGTAACTTTGAACTCCTGGGCTCAAGTGATCTTCCTGCCTCAGCCTCTTGAGTAGCTAGTACTACAGACGTGTGCCACCATGTCTGAGTAACGTTTAAATTTTATGCAGAGACCAGGTTTTGCCATGTTGGCCAGGCTGGTTTTGAACTCCTGGGCTCAAGTGATACTCCCACCTTGGTCTCCCAACGGGCTGGTATTGCAGGGTTGAGCCACTATACCCAGCCCAAAATTTTTTTTATTATGAAACATAGGATCTCATTACAGCAGATTTGGAAAATAGATTAATTGATTCCTAATCCCAGTGCTTATTCAATAGTAACAAATATTTATTGCATAGTTAACTGTGCTAGGAGCTAGAGCTGTGGAGGTGGACAATTACTGTGAGTAGTCTAGTTGATTTTCTCCATTTTGTAAAACGCATCACTTTTTGTCCATGTTTTTGTGTTTTGTACTTACAGTAAACAACTTGATGTCCTACTTTTTAATTAAATCATTAGCTCTTTCCCAGTTTGTTACATCACAAAAATTTTTACAGTAATACATGCTAGAGTAAACATTAAAATAGACGTTATTTTTAATGATTGCATAGTGTTTTATCTAGTGGATAGACTGATTTTACCGTCACTCATTCTTCTTTTATTAGCTATTCAGGTGGCTTCATAAATTATCCAAGGAGGAATTTTTTTCTCTCACTTAAAGCTGCAGATAGAAACTCTTGGAACAAGGAACCTACGGGAGCACCTCTTCTTTATTGATGAAGCCCAAATCAGAATAGGCCTGGCTGTGTCTCTGCCCTCTGCACTCCATGTCAACTCACAATTCCAAGGCCAGAATAGCTTGGTGCAGACCTTCACTCTGGGAATATGGACCCCTGGGTGTGTTAGCCAGCTTCTTTCTCTTCCCTGGTTCTCTTCTTCCTTTGTTTGCTCATGTCAGGATTATAGGCCAAGGCCAAGGACAGGACTGAACATGCTTAGAGCAAACATGGGAGAACAGGGACCGGGGTTCTGGGGGGCTTGCTCAGCCCTTACCCCATGGAGGGAGAACAGCCATGTGTGGATTTTAAGGCTTTAAAAGAAATTTGTTAATAAGTGCCCGTGATTGTGAGGTTCCTGTACAAGCCTAGACTGGAAGCCTGTTTCCTCAGGGTGTACCCAGTGGAATTTACATCAGGGGCCTTGGAAAACAGGAAGGGCCAGGAAACAGAAGCCAGTAGGTTTTGCCTTCAGGAAGGAAGTCCTTCCCATTGTGTGTGTGCACTCCCTTCTGGGGACGTGCTGAGCTCAGTCAGTGCTGACAGTTTGAGAGACTTGAGGATGAAACCAGGGAAGGGGCTCATCATGGTGATACTGGACAGGGGAGTGAGCAGACTAAGCAGCAGTCTGATCCGGGGGTCAAGCAGCTGGATGCTGCTACTCCGTCTTTTGCCCCTGCTGGGTGGGAAAGTGGGGGAGAGGACGGGGAATAGACCTAAATGCCTCCTCACAAACCATACACCCACATGAAGGTAGGCTCGCCTCATGGAATCTCATGTTCACAGATGCACAAGGCACATATAACCCAGGCCTCATAAACAGGTACAGGCATACCTACACACCCTCTGGCACAGGAGCACAGTGACACTTGAAGAGGTGCGCTCCCAGGCCAAACGGAGCAGGAAAGTCCATCCTTTTGGTGTACTGTGAGTTCCAGGCTGAAGGTAATCGGAATGCTGTAAGGGGAGCTGGGTGTTCTGAGTTGCTGTTGTACTGAGTGCTGTCTCCAAGGCTCAAGGATTTTAAGCAAAGAGATTGGCTGTCCCTGTGACTGAGCAAAGACAGGCCCCAGCCCCATGGATTCTGAGAATCGGCCAGGGCTTTGCTGCTTTCGTGCTCAGTGGGACCCCAGACTTGTTGGGGAGGGAAGAGTATTGTTTGCTTAGGATCCACCCTTCTTGGCCTAGGGGTGATTTGGGCTGTTGGTGGCATACTGCTCTAGCTGTGCCAAGGGGGCTGTGGGCAGCCTATGGAGCTGGAGGGCTTTTCTGAGTCAGGACTTGTTTGGCTCAGGTCTCTTGTACAAACCAAGTCTCCAAATAGCAGCTCTATGGTGATGTGGACCCTGCAGCTCTGTCCAACAGAGAGTTCAGTGAGCCTGGCTCAGTCTTAGTCTGTTGCCACATTCTTGGGCCCTTCCCACCAAAGTGGGAGAGTGTCAAGCCCTAGCTTTATTCTTGAATATGTTCATCTTTTTCTTTGAGATGGAGTCTCGCTCTGTCACCTAGGCTGGAGTGCAGTGGCGTGATCTTGGTTCACTGCAACCTCTGCCTCCTGAGTTCAAGCGATTCTCTTGCCTCAGCCTCTCTAGTAGCTGGGACTACAGGCACAGAGATGGGGTTTCGCAATGTTGGCCAGGCTGGTCTTGGAAGCCTGATCTCAGGTGATCCACCCCTCCTAGGCCTCTCAAAGTTCTGGGATTACAGGCATGAGCCACTGCTCCCAGCCAATCTTTTTCTGATTTCTAACTGCTTCCTGGTGCCAGGGTGGAAAAGGGCCCAGCAGGTGGAGCTGCTGCCTCTTTGCTGGGATTCCTTCTCAGGGACTTGGTGTCCACCCACCCAACACACTTGGCTTCTTTCAGAAGTGTCCTTATACGGAGGTACTTGAATGTGTTTGCTTATTGAATTTAATGCCGGGGGGCGAGCGCCCATGAAGAAATGGGATTTTCTCACCCTGAGTTTGAGATGAGTGTGGCCCCAGGAGGAAGACTGGGCAGGAAGGTACTTTTCCTTCCTGTTTCTAGTGAGGACCATGTAGGGAGGTCTCCGTCACAGAGCCCCAAGTTTCCCATAGGGTGGTTCCACCCAGACCTGGGAGGGGTCTCCCTCTGTACAGCTTTAATCATCTGTTTATCGCTCACTGTCCTCTTCCCCCATGCTCCTGACTGTGGGGCACTGAGCAGTTAGAGCTGCACGTCCTCCAGCGGGGAAGGCAGCCAACAGATACAGACTCGCTCTGCCTACCTGTGGAGGCCGGTGAGGCCAGGGCCTGTTGGGACTTGAAACAGTGAGGCAAGTGGGTGTGTGGTGCTGGGCTCCCCCTTCAAGTTCTCCCAGCATGCCAGTTCCTGGAGCCTTATGTGCAGGGTGTTGGGGAAGGGCGGGCTGAACCGTGGGTGGGAGTCTTGGCTCAAAGCTGCAGGTGAGTGGAGGAATTGGGGGCGGACCTGAAGTACTGTCTTGAGGCGGAGCTGGCAGGCCTCTTGGGCTTGTGCAGCTGCCTCCCTGGGTCAGAGGGTGCGCTCTCTGTACCCAACTAGGGCTCCATAGATCTGTCTCAGCAAAAAGTGCAGGGAAGGATCAGAGAGAAACTGTGAAACAAAGGGAGGCAGAGCATCCCTTCCCAAGCCTACTGCTGAGAGGTTGGAGTGTAGAGGAGGCTGCCTAGTTCATGCTTCTGCCTGTTCTTCCTAAACTGCTCTGGCCAGAGGGAAGACCGTCTCCGCTGCTTCTCAGGCTCCCTGTAAGGAATCTCCCAGCTCCCTATTCCTGGATCCATCATCATCACATTTAGGAAGTCTTGTCCAATCTACTTCTCCTAGGTGAAGCGTACACCTAGCTCTCCCTGTTCGTCTTGTCTGCTTCGCTTGATACAAAGGGAACAAACTGCTTGGGGGCTGGGGTGGTTGCACAGTCCAACCCTGTGCTCCTGCATGGTGGTAGGAAAGGCTCGTCCAGAACGGAGCTAAGGACCCAGCTTTTTCTAGGCAAGAGGAATGTGTCAAGGGAACTGCTGTGTTTGGGGGTAAGCAGAGGATGGGAAGGAAGCCCTTTCCCCTCCCCGCATCTGTCACCTGACGGCCATGCTCAGATCGGGTTAATGAAACTGTGGTGCCCCAGGCAGCTGGGCGGCCCCCCCTGCCCTGAATCAGCCTGACTCATTTACAGCTTTCTCCCAGTTACCCCAAAGGCTTCTCTCAGAGGTGACAAATGTAGGGGGTTGGTTTCGGGTTTCATGTTTTCACATTACTGGGTGGAAAAAAGAAAAAAAAAAACACCTTTCCAAACCAAAAAAAACCAGCTTCTATAGCAGAAACAACTTGTCCCGAGAGCACTGAAAATTTCCCCATCCCTCTCCTCATCTGCTCAGAGACACTGAGACCAGTGACGGAGGGGTTAAGGGGAGGGGGTGGAGCCAGGCTGAGTGGAGTGTTGGGGACAGCCCCTTTGGAGGTGGCAGCACCTGCCTTCCTGCTTACAGACAGGGGAGGACCTTTGCAGGGCCCTCCAGCTGTGAAGCCTGTGGTCTCCAGTGCTCAGAGGTGGATTGCCAGGGCATGGGACAGTGAGCTCAGGGTGGCGAGGGACCAGGGAAGGAAGGGTCCATCTCCCCTCCCTAGCTAATTTGATCCCAGGAGGTCTGGGACAGGTGTCCCTCCCTAGCAGAGGGCTCTTGAGGTGGAGTGGTAGGTAAAATATAGAAGGTCCATCTGGCACATGGAGCCTAGGGGGCAGCACCCCCTCCTCTGGCTGGCTGGTAGCATTGTGGACCACCTCCGCCCCCTGCCAGGGGCAGATGGTCTCCATAGCAGATGGAGACTAGGCCGGCAGTGGCAGGATGGGCTTTCTAGTCTCAGCCTGGCCACTCTGGCTAATAAGACAATCCGGGGGCAGTGACAGGGCTAACTGCCGGTGTGTGTGTGTGTAGGTGTGTAGGAGGGGGAGCCCTGGCCTTATTGGGCCATTCTGGGGGAGAAGTAAAGAGGAGCCCGAGGGTCAGTGGATCTTGGGGGCCCCCTCAAATTTGCCATGTAAGGGTGGCAGGCTGTCAGCGCCTGGGCTCCTGAAGCTGCCCTGGTTAGTTCTCGTGTCAAGGGGCCGGCTCCTGGGGTGGGAGCCTCTGCTGCAGCTGGAGCC